ATATTAATCAAATTGATATATCAGAATGTAAGATGCAATATATAATAACGGTGTAATTTCCTGTCAATATTACCAATACCTATGTACCATACCAATCATCTAAAGTACCGGAAATCATTTATAAATTGCTATTATAAATACCGCACTATCCGCCAAAAATAATGTCTATTAGATTTAGTCGTTATAAAAACTTAATCGTCGAGTATTTATTGTCCCCCTCCCACTCAAAATGCTTAAAGTTTTCTGTCCCATGGGTCAATTCAAGCGGGTCATTTCAGCAGAAAAATAATATATATTTACATATAAATGACTATTACTTTTATCACGGTATAATGACAACAATCTTTATTATCTGTTCATATAATAAAATTGTAACATATGTGACAAGGCGAAACGGCGAAAGTTTAGGATAAAACATTCACGAAATCTTGTCTAAATATCAAAATTAACATTGTTTTTTTTTCTAATTTTAGAAATTAAATTAGAAAAAACAACCAAACCAAACCAAACCTAACCAATCAATAATTTTTGTAAATTTTTAATAAGGACCTATAATTTTGTTTATTAATTCATTAATCGTTTACGTTGTATAGATGATTTATGTGTTATTCACCACCAATATTCTATTTATTGTTGTTATATATTTATCACCACCAATATATACTAACATGCACGCGTTCTAAATCGCGAGCAGCCCTAATATGTTATAAACCCACCCAATTGATGAGACTGAGCTTGTAAAATCATTCATATAATGGATTGTTCATTTTGTACATTATCATTCGTTTTGTGTCATTTCTTTTCACGCATTCAAAAACTCGACTTTCCTGTCCATATTATATTATTATTTATTTGAGCGACATTCTATTGTATTCAGACATATATGGTGAGGTTATTACCGCAGAAGCAATGATTATAAATTGACAGGTTTTGTGGAAAACATGCCTCTTAGATCCACAATGATACCACACGAGACGCTACGTAGGCGATAGTTATGGGTTCACCTTTTCAAAAGACTTATAATATTATTATGTTTATTAAGCGATTATGACACAGAGCGGAGACCACATACGTTGAAGATATATATTTTGACTGAATTATTGCAAACTAAACAGTTAATCATCGTTCAACAATATACTAGACGATTTACTGCGTTAAATACACAAAAACATGTGCTATTCACAAAAAAAAAATGCTTTTTTATTATATTTTAGTACCATAAAATTTTAGCCATAATCATAAAAATAAAAACTTAATTAAATATGATTTACGATTATGTATTAAAATAAATGCGGGTTATAAATATTCCAAGCAACTTTCGTGACAGCACTGGAAGTAATATTTCGGTTTTGAACTTTATCAGTCGTAAATAGTTTCAAATCTCTTGTTTTATATTAATGTAACAACATAAAATTGTCGTTAAATATCATAATGCTATCTTTAACACCTGTTGAGTGAAAATAATAGTATCGTGTTACAATGTGAAACTGTGTAAAGTCGTTAAAGCCACAATTAATTATGCAGCTTTAGTTATCTGTGACAAGTAACAGCTCCGGTCACACGATATATCACCTGTTATTAATGTGTCACACCACTAAATATTAGAGTGACAGACTTGCGTAAGTAAATAATAACTGCCGGTGACATTATGACGTTGAAATTTATTTATTTAACAACCTGAAGTGACAGGATTTGCAACATTTTATGATTTATGAATAGAACTTGATAACTAGTCGCGTTGTTCTGCTAATAGCAATTTGTTAACCTTAATTTGATATCTCATATACCTGTGCAAAACTACAAAACAAATTACATAAACTATATTTGTTACGACTAGCCGCGGGTAACGTTGTCTGTAATATAAGAATCAGAGGAATTTTCCCCCGCTTTTGCTACATATACAAATTTCATTGATGCTTTGCTCCTAGTAGTCATAGCGTAATGTTATATAGCGTATAGCCTTCATCGATAAGTGAGCTATATAAAACTTAAAAAAAAATCTATTTCATCCAGTAATTCCTGAGATTAACGCGTCCAACTAAAGAAATATAAACAAGGTTGATACAGCAACAGATAAGTATTTCAATTAATAATAAATAATATATATAGGTCGGCAAAAGAATGAATGAATGAACGTGTGGAATTTATTGCATATAATGTGGTATTATGTTGGTAGGTGAACACAAACACAAATGAACATTAATGTTTATTTCAAACATTTATTCTATAACATATAACATTTTGTTTATTATAAAACTTAGAAATTTAGCTGATACGTATCATTTTAAAATTATAGCTTATTGTTACATTTGATTTAGTGACGGAAGATATTCCAGAAAAAAAAACTAATATTATACAGAATGGCCGAGTGGTACAGTGATATTTAAAAATAAAATATATAGTCATTATTAGATGAAAATAGCCATCCTAATTCAGTTAAATTATATACAAAAACATGCACGAGAAAATACAAATGTTTGGCAACCGATTAAAAAGTCTGATTCAAAATTTCATGCGAGTCCGTTTAAAAATGAGTACATAAGTGTTAATTAATTCCGCACTCATGTTAAGATGGCAACACTGACTTCAGGTTAAACGAAAGTAAGAATTTAGACGGCGAAAAATTTAACCCTTTTTCTTCGACAATTAAGTAAAAAATGTCTTAATCAAACTTTCACATGCATTCGTTTATAAGTGCGTACATAATTGAAAACGTTACTAAATTATTCCTCACTCACGTGGAACTGGCAATACCGGCGTCGGGTACAAAGAAAGTAAGAATTCAGACGGCGCGGACACAAACAGACCGCGGTGATTCTATCTCAGTGCGAGATGTCTCGCGGTTCACGGACAGTTGTCTGATGTTCAGCTTTTTGTTTTCTACATTGGCCACTGGTTTGACTTGGTTCGGCTGTATACGATATTCCTTTGTCGCTAATAATTTAAATTTAGTTTTCTTCTGTTAGTTAATGGACGTTCTTCATAACAAAATTATTTCTTAATATTATAATATTTAATTTATATTGTACTAAGGGATGCGACAGACATTTTCTTGCAAGAATATAGATATATATTAAAAATAGATTTTTGAAAAAAATCCCTTAAAACTATTTACAACGGGTACCGGGTTCTATTATGAATCTCTACCCACTGAGACAAAAAAAGAATTCATTAAAATATATATAATATATAATTGTTCAGTCACACGGAGAGATAAAATAAGTGAGTGAGTTGAATATATTTCACTAGCGACCCGGCCAGCTTTACACGGGTGTATTACAAATCTTTGAATTTCTTTTCAGTGCTATAATATGTATGTCTTATACATAATATGTAGACAGAGTGATTCAAGAGGAAGGTTTATAATATAAACCTTCCTCTTGAATCACTCTGTCTGTTGCTGAAATCTGCTTTAAAATTCGTTGTGTAATTGAAAATATCTGACGATTTGTTTTATATTTAATAAAAATGATAATGCAAGTTTATGACGGATAACTATTTTTATTGTACTCAGTCAATTCATTTAATCAGTAAATACACAATAAATGAGTGATGAACTAAATTCTAATACTACGATAATTTGAATTATCATAATGCTTCGATTGTGCATGTTGACTGATAATGGATCCTTTATTATGCTAATTGCCACGTTATTGTTAGCGGTTTGATCAATTTGTCGTCAAAGGCTTAGGAGTTCAAGGTATTATTTTAATTATTCTGTCCTCAGCAGATGGCTGATTATAAAACACGATCTATTTGGAATAAAACGTAATCTAAAATAGGAAGTAATGAAAATACCATCAATTATAACTCAAAGAAACAAACGACATATAACAACATTTTAATATTCATTCATTTATAATTTAAGAACTATAGCTCTTATCGTTGGAGCTCTTGCCACTTTCCGCGATCTTCCATTATTTATTATTAATTCTTGATACGACACGACTCCCGTTTTGTCCTCAATTTATATAGAAATACAAAAATATAAATAAGCTTACCCTAATTCACACAAAATTCTTAACAACATTTATTTAAAAGAACAACACGCTAGTTTCTTGCTCATCTGAAGAGGCTAGATCGAATTTTATTAAATTTTATAAGCATATTCTATAGTAGGTCTGAGAATTTGCTACTATATATTTTTTATAACCCTAAGTGTAAAGAATTCTCCAAACACTAACATTTATGTTCTGGACATTTTTTATTAACCCCTATTTTTTAATATAATTTAATTTATATGGCACAAAATCATTTGCCGGGACAGCTAGTCTATCTATAAAAAAACTTACTAAAATTAGTGTTGGCCGGTGTTGCCAACAGATATATGAGTTTAAGATGTTACTCGTGCCCACGAACTTGTAACTGTTATCAAGGTACACATCTAGCGCGTAATACGACCACTGAGTGTCGACAACCGGATTTGTCTTGACATGCGTATGTACATACGCTCCTTTCTTGGTATTATTAATTGTTTTTATACTCTAAGGAAGATCCACATATACGCGAATTAACTGCATGAATTTACAGCTCCTATAAATCACTTTAATGTTTTTTATGAACTATTTATTATGAAGAAAAATATCTTTATTTTTTCATGGACTAACTCAAAAAATGCTTTGCATGTTTTTTAACTGTTTGAAAAGTGCTACTTATATGTCAGAGTTGTATAGACTATATATTAAGTTAAAATATTCAAAAGTCATACGGCTATGAGGGTTAATCCGGGGTACTAGGCTAACTAATGAATACAATGAATTTTTACAACAAATATATTACGTATATAATTATTTAGCAATTTTATTCAGGTAACAGTCAATTTATTTTCATTCCATTGATAATGTAAAACAATATCTTCGAAATTAAAAAGTTACTGTATATAAATGTGCAAAGATATCAACAAAAATTTTCGACAATAGCACCCTAAATCTGTTATTGAATGGTTATCCAAAATTAGTCATTATACCTATGTTAATAATACTGTTTTTCTTTTTGTCCAGGTGAAGGCGGCGGCGGCGGTGGCGGGGCGCGGCGGTGTGCGCGCGATGCGGCGGCGTCGCCCGCGCACGCGCACGCGCCGACGCCGACGCCAGTGCCGCCCGGACAAGCACAAGCCCACGTTAAGAACGAACGTCTGAGCCCACATGACTCGAACGCCTCCAGGTTAGTACCTCACGCGGATCCTATACCGATAAATAAGGTACCAATTTACCAAACCAAATAACCAACCTACCTACGATGACGATCGTAGGTAAGTCGAGTAGGTAGGTAAATCATACCTCAGTTACGAATATTTCAGTCAAGTACAACAACTTACAAAGTGCTTACTTTGTAAGTTGTGTTTCGGTTGCGTAAGATATGGCAATTGTTTTTCAGACTAGTCGAATACTGTTGGCCGCAGATGGCTTTTATAGCTTTACCTGACAATAGGGGGCGAGTTCAGATGACACTCCAAACACTTATGGAGCGGCTGAAGGCAAACTCCTGCCTGACGGATACTACTTTAGTATGAGACAAAAGAACAGAACGGCTTTGGCGGAACATTTAACTACGACCGTGATAACAATGCTCACTATTGATGACATGCCTACAAGACTCAAATTAGTTAACTTATTTATACCTTGTAGGTACTATGAGGGAATAATAATACGCTGGTGGGGCACCAATGGAAGATGATTGGATAAAATTAAGAAGGTCCGGTTTTTTATATTACGATATTGGAAACAAAGGATATGATGGTAAACAGTTACCGTATCTTGTGGACGCCTGCAACACCAAATTAGTACACCGTGGTGAATTTCCCAGGATTTTCCAAGGACGCTGAACAGACTCCCTCATTTGCAATTCTCTTGACCTATTTGCTGTAAACAATAAACCAGTAATACGTATATCACTATTGTTACGCAGATTTTTAACCTATTATCCTGGTTTGAAAGAAAAATGACATGATCTTAATCCTAGAAGAACACTACTAATAATCTATGCCCACTATTAGTTTATATAAGAAACAGCTTTGTTATATTAGTATCATACTTGGTACAGATCACGTAGTGTGACGCCGTCGACATCGTCATACCCGGGCACGCCGCCGGAGCGCGGCAGCCCGCACGCACCACCACACCCGGCGCCGGCACACCCGCCCCGCAACTACTCAGACATAATGCGCTCATTAGCAGCGCGATACAACACGCATCCCAACAACGAGTAAGTAAACTTTATTAAAGACTTGTTGGAATTATATCTAATTAGGACTATGTACATATACATATGTATAGAAATATCTATAGATACTACTTTATTTATTTATGTAACTATAGTTAACACGTTGCGGCATTTTCTAACAGGTAAACATGGGTGATACATAAAACTAATGATATAAAATACAATATATATATAAATAAAAAATAACAAAAATACTTCAAGAATCCTCAAACGTCTTTTTGTCATGTTTATATCTCAAAGGTCTTTTTGTAATGAATTAATGACAACAAGACCTTTAAGTGTTCTTGAATTATTATTTTCTTCCATCAATATATAACATGCCGAGGTTTTCTCAAGAAGACTACAGCGTGGGGTTGTTCAAGTAACACTCCTGGTGTTTCAGGCGTCCATAAGCTACGGTAACAGTTAACCATCAGATGGGTTATTTGCCACCAAAGTAGTATAAAAAAACATATGAAGTAACATGCTTACCATAACCGTGTAAGTAACCCATAAAGAATTCAGATTATTAAGCCTTTCTCTGACAGAATGTCTCTCGACTGTGAAGTCTCCGATCACTTAAATAATAATTAAAGAATCCAATTGATCACTTCCAATTAATATACGCGGGTTAATTTAAAATACATTAATTGATAATACGATACCGCCTTAGACAAAAATACGTGTATTAATTTAATTAGCTACCTTGTTTATAACTTTGAAGAACCTATCATATAACGGCGAAAACAAGTGTAAACCGTAAATAATATAAAAAAAGTTTGAACTCGTTTATCATAAAGACTAGTTAAGATGATTGCAAAACTACTACACAAATGGTCTCATGTCATAGGCTTGAAATGATCGATATCAATAAATTATCATCCAAATTGCTTATAATAAGATTTCAATTAAATAAAATAGATATATTGTCGACCATTCTAACACGACACTAGTTCCATAAATGTGCGATTAGCCTTATTCTGATTACGTTAATTTATAGTCTGTGCAAAAGGGAAGTGTTCCATCACTGGCGTTCCCGAATTTCGAGTCGCGAGATTTTCACACGGTCACTCATGTCACAACACTACGCGACCCACAGTTCAGCGACCGGCTAGTGATGCCCAAACCAATTAGCATATTAATCGATTCGATAACTTACGTTTAGTCGACAAATTTACATGATTCGTGAGAACCAATGCTCTCGGCGTGAACTTATGTTATATTAATGAATTGTTCATCTCTCGGTGCTCGGTCGGCGACCTCTGTCAATTTTAATTATCCATGCAGCACTGGCTTCCTAGGCGCCTTATAAATATTATCTGTTTTGACACACATCGAATGCGAGTTAAAGATATCGATTGATTGTAAATTATACGCTTTATTAGATTAAAGAGCTTATTAGTAAGAATCAGAAACATCGGCCGTTAAAACGTTAATTATATGCGGCTACGTTTTAATTTTAATTAATCTAAAAATTCATAACAAATTTCCAACCAAGTATGATATATTTATTGAAAGCTAATTCATTATTAACTTACTTTAAATAAGTATACCGTTGCACTAGTGTTGCTGCTAAGCTAGATGACCTGTAAAGGGAACACTCGGGCACGAACTCTTACCGCAGAGTTGAATAAAAATTTAAATGACAACTACAACTATATACTACTATCATTTCATGCCCAGTCATACTGAAATAGTCAATTTGATTTGACTATTTCAGTATGACTGACGATTGAAATTGATAGTCAAATATATATTATTTGTATTATAGACGTAAATAGATGTAATATAAGATATTTTTTCACTTACATTGTCCATACCTACAATCCCGTCTTGAAGGTTAGTTACTCCGTAAAATAAAACAAAAAAAAGATCGTTCTCAATTCAGTAGTGTGTTTTTTACATTTGTTACTTCAGGAGTGTGACATCTCTATAAAACGATTTAGAAAAAAATAACTTGTTTGAAAGGTTCTTATAACTTTATGAGTATTGTTTATATTAACATGATTTATAATAATATAACCAATGTCACTATATAATAATGTAACTTTCAAATATTGAAAAAAATTTCAAATTAGACAGTGGCTCCGAAGTTAGTTTCCTCATAACGAAATCCGGTCTGTCTCTTTACATTATTAGTATAGATAATAAAATTTGTATCTCTCACCCAGTTATCTGTACCGCATGAATGGCTTCGGTGTGGATCGAACGGCAACATCTCCAGCACAAGCGGATGCGACGGATCCCCCTCTTGGCGGACTATTCACAAAGCTGGCGACTCAGCAAGGCGGTCCACAGCGGCTACCAGCTTTTCCTGTCATGCTCGACATGAGCTCCACTAAGGTAATTTAACAAAAATTAAACAATTTTCTTATTTGATTAACACACTGTTGCTTTTGACGTTTTCTTCTATAATTGTATCTTAAACTCTATATATTTATTTCTTCTCATTTCTTATGAGTATTTTTAGATAAGAATACTGATTTTTTTGTAGACTTGAATATATTATCGTAAATAAGGTATAATTTGGTTGTTATTATAACGTGCATTGCTTTAAATAATGGGGGTCATGTTGCCCAAAATTATGTATGGAACCCTCAATACAAATAATTTCCTATTGCCCAAGATCGCGTGAGCCATGAAACAGGATGTCTCTAATCTAACAAACGACTAGTAAAATATAATTCTTCTTTTTTATGTCATAATAGCAATTTTATTTTTATTATTCATCAGAGGAACCTTTGAACAGTTTCAATTTTATGATTATTACTTCACCGTGTGCTTTACTTAGGCCAGTGCCCCTATGAAATAATTTACGGTCAGCTGAGTTTTCGTTTCAAAAGAGATACATTTTAAATTCATATTAATTATATATACAAGTGCTCACTGACCTTCCTGTTTTAATTACACATCATACACCGTTTCATAGTTCACGGCTGTGATTAAAATATCTCAGGGAATCGTAAAATTCATAAGGCATTATCGTGCAACGCATCTCCATTGAACACGGCTCGTTTATGTTAATTTGAACCTCTTTAAAATCATAATGCGCGATGAGCAACCCGCTTCCTTTCCAGTAATAATGAAGGCAATTAAATCTGATAAGGCCCACGACCTTTACACTTCCTTCGCTATTGCACAGATAAGGTGGAGAGAGTGTTAATTGCATACCGCTTCTTAACGTTCGCTGTGCGCGCACAATCGGCGGGGTAATAGTGATGCCCCGCCTATTGCTCGACGCTCGCCAGCGAACCGTCTCGACTCTCCTCGACTCGACTGTAAAAGGAACTGGAGCTGCACTAATTGGCAGCGGCACGCGCCGCGCATGCGCGGTGCTTAGCGCGCCCCGCGACATGCTAGTGATGGGATGTGAAATCGACACAGAGCAGTTAAAAATTAGAAGTTTTTGCAAACGAGTGCAATAAGAAACACGCGCAAACTGCAGTATTAAATCGTTACAGTTATTTGATTCGACTTTCTAGTAAAATAGTTGCTACGTTGCTGCCTCGTAAACATGTATATTCATTTGTGGAGTCAAGCATATATCCCTGTTTTACTGTATTAATAACATCTGACACCTGTGGCGCATAAGGTGGAGGCCGCCGAATGTTTGTTAAGTTTCTATTTATGCTTTATCATGACCATAAATAGTAGTTTAAATTTATTTTCGCCTATAAAGAGAAACAGGAGCGACGCGGAAATAAATCGTGAAATTTATGGCAGTGGCTCTGCTTTAGCACGTAGCTTGTAGGCGCGGCGGGCGTCTGCGCACGCGCCCGAGCGCTAACAACCATGTTCATTTCACGCGCGCGCGCCTTCGTCTGAATTTCATTCGGAATTACCCTGCATTCGCCTTTTTTAGTGCTCGTGGCAATTAAAAAAGATAGATTGCAATTTGACCCGCGGGCGGCGAGCGTGACGCTTCGGAACGTTATTATGATGAATGCCCGCCACTTACTATCTGAGAGTGCTCTCGATCAGATAATAACATACTCGCTCGCTTTCGTGTTTGCTTAATACCCGTACTATATGCTACTTGGTGTATGGTATTCTGTAATTGAGTTTTTAAACTTGAATTGCGCCTCAATTAAGTTGGTTTAATTAGAATAATCTCATGGCATTTATAAATTTAGGGAATTATTCAATTTATTACATGTTGATATTATTAGAAAGATGTCTTTCGTATAACTATGATATATAAAATTAAATTGTGATATATTACACGTTTTTAGTCAACCTCAAACAACCTTTATTAGGTTCCTTGACATAACCTTTAAGCTTAATATTAATTTTATCGGTTTTTTCTATAAACACACTTTATAATGTTTGAAGAGATTAAGTACAAAATTTGGTTATACAAAGTCGATATTGATCTGACTATTTGCAATTACCAAATAAACAATTAATTCCTGCGAATACTTATAGCTAGAGTACACTAACTGTTACTTTGTATTGCGAATTTCACTGATATCTAATGAAATTATCAAGTCAACTTTATTACGAACCTACATAATTTAATTGGAATCTAACAGTCTACTTTCACAGTCCACATTCCCTCTATAGAGCCATTAATACCCATTAAAGCTTTTACGTTAAATTTATCAAATAAATTCGCCAGTTGCGGGCGATATCTTGAGTACCTACATCACGGCAGGCGGTCACGTCTTAAACAGGAACTACTAGTGATGTTTCTAACGCACACGATCGAATGCGTTAGAAACATCACTATATATTTTTTTATAAAAACTGCAATAATTATATACTGTATATATAAGTATTTTTAAACTACCCACCGATGGAGATTTCGTATTGTTTGTGTACAAACAACAAACAAACAAAAGGTACCTTTGTCTCGAACATTTCTGCAGCAAAACTATTTGCTTTGTAAATTATGTTCCACGCTGACGGTCCATCTGATAATAAGTGGTAACAATCCCCTATACATAATAAAAGCACCACGGACATCACCATGCTTCGCTAGCCCAGACAAAGATGATATGTCTCTCATACAATAATATCACTGTATAAACTGCACTCTACAACGGACAACAGCTTACAAAGCTGCTTAGCGGCTAAAATATTTTGGTCCCACTGAAGTACCCAAGAAAATGGCTATAGTAAAAAAAAATTACTTCTGAAGAATTCTTTCCAATTCAATCTCGAGTATTCTTTATAAAATTAGAATGTGTTTTAACAGAGTTTACTGGCGATATCACGGGTGCACCGTAGCGGAAGATCGCGTCGCAAGCGCATCGGCACGGGAGCCCCCGCGGACCACTCGCCGCTCGACCTGTCTGCGGCGGGCGAGAGCGCCGCCAAACGTGCACGGCTATCAGCCAGCCCCAGCACGAGGAGCGACAGCGAAGACAGAGACAGAATCTCTAATGATGGTAAACAAATTTATTTCACAGTCTTATATATACTCGCTCGCTTTCGTGTATATATTGTAATTGGAACGGCAGACAAGCTAATGGCCTACTTGATGGTAATTGGTAATCCTCACCTATATACTGAATATATGAACTACGGACATGAAGTTATAAGATGAAGCACCTGATACCATTTACCAGGTGATGTTATTCCGGACGACTGAAATGTCATGACTATTCATTTAAATTCATTGCCTCACCCTTCATCTAAACACACCTTACACGTTATTTTGTTCTTTTGTTCTAAATCAAATCAGCTGGCCATCTCTAATACCAATGTAATCACATTGGATTGAACCGATTTACACCTTTTTATACTATTAAATTATACACTGGCAACGTACTAATTCCATATGGCGTGTTCAATAAATAATGTAAAGTATGTTTACACATCTAACTACTACATCTAATCTAGTTCTTTAAAAATTCAGTTAGTATTTTTGAAGAACTAGATTAGATGTAAAGTAAATTTGATGGTTCGAATCATACATTGCTGCATTAAACTTTCCAAGTCATTTATTGCACAGTTTAATTGATTTGATGCTTCTGATGACAGTGCCAACTTCCAAAACTAGTATTTGTTTCCTTAATCGTCTCTGTACTTTTGTGGAATAGGAAATATTTCAAATTTGAATTCGATTTGATTTGAAAAAAGAATATATTTTCCATTTTTATTTTGTTACGATTTTTTAATTTAAGTATACCTGAGAGGAGTTTTTAAATGTGGTCTATATTGCAGATCGAAGCGAAGCCCGCAGTGACTGTATGTGCGCAGAGGCGCGTGCTCGACTTACGTCGTGGTCGGTAGACGAAGTATGCGATTTCGTCAACTCCATAGACAATTGTGCGGAATACGCATCGGTAAGTGCACTATCTCTAGTTATTTTCTTTATTTTGATATTACTTACGAATGTCCTGTGTTTTGCAATAGTACCTAGACTACTATCACTTAGAACATAATATTTCTAGTTTGAATTTTTTAGCACTGCATATTTGCAATTAATTGTCAATAATTTTTGTCTTTATATGTACTTATATACTTATTAAAAAGAATTGTCAATGCAGCTTTTTATCTGTAAGTAATCTGAGATAATGAAAACCAGAATAATTTTTTTAAAAAAAATTTTTCATTTTTTTTTTGTAATAATGAGGAAGCTCTCGCCTTTTTTTATCAGAGGAAAAAAAGAGAAATTAAGTTACAAATTAAAAGCTTGTAAAGCGCTAATGCTAATTTAAAGCTACATTATTACAAATTGCATTACCCATCACTAGACTAACAATAAAATCTAGATATAACTCTATAATCACCATAAATTATTACACAGTGAAGAGATCGGCGCTCTGTAACTTTTATTGCGTGTTGCTCTAATAAGCTGGTTCATAGTTGATACCTCATAAATACGAGGTTACACCTGTTGTAGGCAATTAACGTGGGATAAGAAATTCCAGTACAAACATAATAAGCGACTGTTCGCTATCCATTAACAACTTTCATCGGAAGCACATCGCGACCAATCATAATAATAACTCGTCATAAGTCGAAACAAATTTTTACGATCGCTAGTCGAACAGAACTGCCACATAGGGTTGCCAAGTTGCCGTATAATATTTTTAATTAAAAAAAAATATATATTTGCAATTCGTATAATACAGATATTTTCTAAGTTGATTGAGTTTTCTAAAATATACATTTTACTCGTATGAAGAAATTTACATTCTTCCCATGTCCTTCGAAAGAAAAATTAAAACAACCGTAACATACTAACAAAAACTACAGTAATTAACATATGTTATTATATAAGTACTCGTCTACCCCGGCTCCACCTGAGTACTTGTTATTTACCAATTTATTATATGTTAACATTATATACCCTATTGCATTCTGAAATATACACCTTTGAAACATGAAAGAATTACTCAAGGTAGTGCAGTGATTCTGGAGGTTACTTTCCTTATAACACACACTCTTTCTTTACGTAACATTACTATTGATATGTAATATTATGTTATCTGTGCTATTGATAAAATTAAACGAAATGTAACATATTTTATATATATACTCGTATTATAATTTTTGTCATTCAGCTCGGAACCACTCTGAAATTACTTCCCACAGAAATATTTCGGAACTTTAAAATCCTAATCCATCTCGGCAACACTCCTGTAACTGTAACTCATGCGTAGCAGGTGCTCAAGATGTATACTGACCAATGACAATACTCGTTTATTACAAGTAATGTTTATTACATATCAAAAACTTTATGTATTGCAAGTAATTATATTATTATTACTTAATAAAAACTTTTATTGCAAATAATTATTATAACTCCATATACTTACCTCAGCTGCATTGCTTTAGATACACATATATTAATGAGTAAATGTTTTAACCTTTATCTGTGCAATTTATCAACAGAAAATATTGTAGATAATTATACCTAACTATAATAGATACAATTTAATAATTCGCTACTGGGTAATAATGGTAATTACATTATACGTCTATTATTTCTTTGTAGATTCTTTTGCCTTGATAAATTTAATTAGCTATCATTATATTATGACCTAAATTTTATATTGTTATCATCCGTTTACTATAGAATGTAAATATATAATAATATTGCACATACAGTATAAGTATATATACAGGATTAATTCAGAAATTACAGATTTTGGAAAATCCACTCTGAATTTTTAGCGTTTAAGTCTAAATTCAACTATTTGAAAGTTTTACTTATTCTAGTATGGTACTAGATTTCTTGTCAAATGACGTAGTAAGCAAATTTAATATGCGTAATGAAAAAGCATTATATGTATATATAATGGTAATGGAAATGATTACGTCAGTTCATGAAAATAATTATACGGTATTTTTATTATTATTGCAGTCTGCTTTTGATAATATATAAGTACTTGCATCAGATTATTTTTTTAATTATATAACCGTACTAACGTACTACACAAAGTTCAGTAGTTTTTGCGTGAAAGAGTAATAAATATAAATCCATTCATCCATACTCACAAACTTTCGCGGTTATAATATTATTAACTTATATCGTGCAATAGTAGCAACCCTATATAACTCTCCGTAACAATAAAGTTATCCAGCTACGAACAGTGAAACCCGCATCACTTCATCACTCTTGGCTGTAATCGTGATTACATGTAATCACTCACTGTTTCAACACCTCACCACCGCACTACTATACGTTGATCCCCGCCAATACAACAACTACAAATAAACTGAAGGTCTACGTAAATTTGTTACGGAATGCCTATTGTAACTCGATATCCAGTGACGATACATATCGTAGTTCCAACATAATGTTCTGTGATTAATTTTAATTGCTACCACGGTGAAAGGAAGCAAATAACACCAGTGCTCTACAAGTAATTTATACCTAAACATATTAAATGTACAGTGACTATTACATAATAATTCATTGATTAAATAGAAAAAGAAAGAAAATATCTCAGGACAATTCAAATAGCGGCATCTAGTCCCGGGCGAATCAGTGCTTATTTTATGGACATTAAAATTTCTTATATTTTTTGTTTTATGACTAAAACTTTAAAAAAATATTCTACTCGTTTTCTATAAAAAGTCTATAGAAAATAGCCAATTCGCTTTTTTTTAACAAAATAACTTTATTTACCAAATAAAATTTAGTAGAAAAAAAAATAAGATAAAAATTTATATAAAAAAATACAACTTTAATATAACTGTAATACAAATTTCAAGCTTTATTCTGGCGCCTACGACAGATACAAAACTTTACCACCTATTTACTTGCACTTGGTATAAATTAATAAAGTATGGTAGTAAAGAAGGATTTGTATTGGGTATTAACAGTTAGGTTTATTGCATTGTACTAACAACATATATTACTGTTGATAAGAGCCCTAACCAAGTTTATAGGCCTTAAAACATTATAGTAAGTATGACCGCTCTCAGCTATTGGTATTGGTAATGGGGATTAAGTTCCCGTCTCGATTCCATAATTTATTATTCGGCCCCGGAGAATCTGTTCATATTTACTACCGATCAGACCAGATTTTGGTCAAGTTCCACAATATACATAATATAACCGTCTGTTTGAATAGCGTTTATACCAAATTTAAACAATTTGAAATGACATTGGTCTAAAATTTATAGTGCACATGTTTAATACAAATTGGAAAAAAAAACACAATAAGAAGAAAATAGTAGGTGATTCAATAATGCCAAACCATACCAAAACAAAGCAAAGCAGAACTTGTAAATATAATGTGTACTGATAACAAAAATAATAACATAAATACATTCTTATTAAAATTAGTCAATAAAAACATTCATTACATTGCTTATTAATGCAAGATGAATCAATCAGTTTACTTACATTCTACAATAGTAAGTATAAAACTCTATGCTTAATTTATTCCACCTAGTTACCTACTTGTTTACACAGAATATTCGCAAGGTTACAACTAATAATAGTATCTATTCGATAGTTTAACAACGATCCATTATAATTGTCTTGTTAAAGTTAAAATAAATCTACCATTATCCAGGACACTATAATTTATCTAATTTAGTGAGCGACACATGTCAGCGAGTCGTATATGCGACAACGACAAGGAACAGGCGATGCGACAGACGCGACATAAGATTTATTTATGTTTTAATTTATAATTGACAGTTTTAAAGAAAATACAATCATACTGCTATAAATTCCTTTTTGGTATAATCACTGTATATTTGCGTCCAAGAAATGGCGATTGCAGTAAAACTGTATTTTAAAATAGGTATCATTTTTATTTATTAGAGTATTAATCTGAATTTAATTTCCGATATCGCATTCTAATTCCTAAAATATATAGATAAGTCTTATGACTCAGCACTCACGGGTTGACATCGACAGAAACAGATATATAATCCCTGAATTAAAGTTGTAAATCATTCTATTCGTACAAAAATAACTAAAAAAAATGTAAATAATGCGTCTATATAAGTATTGGTTCAAGTTTTATTAAAAATTCATTTTAACTACACGCCTAAATGTTGCCAAGATTTTGTTTATTTTTCATTTTATCACCAAATAGCTTTTGATATTGTACTATATTGCAGATTAAATTCTTTATTCTACCAATTGGAAATTAATGCAAGTAAACTTGTTGAATAATAGACACGTGATTTCACGTGAACATTGTTAAATTGAGTTGTTTATAATCAAAATACAACTCATTAAATTGCAACTAGGCAAAAGCTAGATATTATTTCTGCAAATAGTTGAAACTAATTTATAAGGTTGAATTGTCAAGTAACATTAAATAATTATACTTATAACTTTGCTGTATATATAATAAATATTATATAACCATGCTTTGTTATTATTAAAGGATATTTGGTTACTTTTCTAAAAGAAATATTAGTATGGATTCATATAGATTAGAAATAATCTTTATTGATTAAACTTAACTATATTTGATTGAATAGTCGCACTTTTTAATCTACCACTTATTGAGAATGCAGTTTCAGTACAACGTAGTAAAAAACTTGCCTGTTGCTCTTTAAAACAAATGTTATAGTAACTTTACATTATTAATACAGATTACTAAATGCATTAAGAATCGAAATGTCAAAATATGAAATGTACAGTGACTATTTTATTTATATATTTATTTTTACGGTCTACACAGAATATGTAGATACAATGATTGATAAGTATCTGTGCTATATTGGCAATGCGTTTGGCGTGATGTGAATCCTGCCATAATTGCACAGCGTAAGTGGTGTAACCATAACGCACAGAGTATGGCATCGCATACATTATGTCAACGTGAGGCAACCCAGACGTGGGAAACGGGGCTGATTTAAAATT